AGACTGAGGTCAAACACAAAAAACGACTTCCATCACGGTCCCACCACAGCAATCCAGTCTGAACTTCTACTAGGCCACTACACCTCAACTTGATTCTCCTTTAGCTGTTACATTATAGTTCTGCTGCTAAGTTCCAGATCAGCTAGGACTCACATGAGTCTGAATACTTTAGACCTCAGGGGAGATGAAGGTCCACTTTATGACAGCAAGAGCCCTAAACCAGCCCAGACCATTACTCCCCCACCACCGTGCCTGGAACGTTTCTGATGAGCTGCCATGTTTGGTTCTGTCCTTCATGGTCAAATGTCTGCTTTGGTCCAATACGATATCTTTTCAGAAGGTCTGTCCTCTTTCCAGATCAAGTTCGACTTCAAACTAAGTCCCGCCGCCATCTTGTTTCTGGAGAGAGTTGCAGACCACCTCTGCTGACCTTAGAACACCTCTTTGTTCCTTAGATTTCCCCTGACTCTCCCTCTGGACTCTGACCTGAAAGCTTCACAGCAGCTTGGCTCCAAACCCCCTCTTCCTGCTGCTGCTGCTGCTGTAAACTGATTCCATTTGAGTTCTGTCTGACTGTCAGAGAGCTGCACCAATATAAACAGCTGACGGCTCTTCTGGGCCCAGTGTTTGTTGGGTTCTGCTGCCCTGGAAACAGAAACACTCTGCTGCTAGAAAACCACAGCCCTCCCTGGGCTGAAGATACCGCCCAACAGCGGGACCCAGAGAAATCTGAGCCCTGCTAAGATGTCCTGCTGCATGGTCGGTCCGGTTTCGTTTCAGAAAACAGACTTCATGAATGAGCACAACGTTTCTTTAATGGTTCTTCTAATGTAGTCGGCCAGAACCTCTGAAATCATCTATGACTCTGACTCAGAGATGATTCATCCTCCAGAGGGTGATGAGGACAAACGCCTGTCTGGACCGAACCTCTGGTTGCTACAGTTTCTCACAACAAACACATTAAAGAAAACAAGCAGCTGGATCATATTGTTAAAGCAAAGATGGGTTCTGATTAGGACTGCAACTAACGATTATTTATGCAAATCCCAATTAATCCGATTAATTGTTTCAGCCCAAGTTCTGATGGATCTCATCCTTTCTGAACTCTAGAGTCTGTGACCCAAAGGCCAGGGTTAGCGGTTATGATCCACGGAAAAAAACACAGATCCAACTGGATGAAGATCTGTTGACAAGCAGTCAAATGTTCTTTGGAGTTCCTAAGTTTGCTTCTCTTTGGGTCTGTGGTCCTCTACAGAGCCCTAGAATACAGCAGAGGGTCCAGATGGAAGCTACAGCCCGTAGAGGAACCGGTTCTCCTGTGGAGTTCAAAAACAAAGAACCGTTGGTGGGTTCTAACTGGTACCGGTGCTGATGAGCATCCAACGAACAGAGAAAACACTCTCACTATCTGAGATAAGGAGAGAACTGGACCGGACTTCCCCTCCACTGACCGTATTCAGAACCCTCAAGGGTTCCAAGTCTGAGGGGTTCTAAGGCTCCTCCAATGGGTTCTGGTTCTCCTCTCTTCGTTCTGATGAGATTAATCTCAGCTCAAGCTCCACCCAGAGGATGGAACCCTGTAGAACCCATCTAGGCTTCTTGTGAGTCACCGTGGTAACCAATTCACCATGGTAACCGGGTCAGCGTCCTCATAAGCATAAAGTGTAAACATGTCTGTGGTCCAAAAGTCCAGGAATCAGTGTTTGCTCTCAACAGCACACCACCTGGACTCGGCTCTCCACTGATCCAGTTCATCCAAACCGGGTCGAGTCGGTTAATCTCTGATCCATGTCCTACGTAGAATCTCATCATAAGAACCCAAATAAAATCTGGGCCACGGAGAACCGAAACATGAGGATGAGGAGAAGATAACGTCTCCTCTGATTGTCTTCTAATCATCATTGACTGTAATGAAGATCCATCTGTGACCTTTGACCCTGAATCTACAGATTTATTCCACCAACAAACTCTTGATTTTTATTGTTCTGGTCAACAAATAGTTGAGATGGTTACTAAATGTTCTCTAATCGGATTAATCTTAGAGCTCACCAACCGTCACAGAGATCTGCTTGGATCTCATTAAACCAGCTAATTATGGAAAATGATTAATGGCACCCTGAGCGGGGCTCTGAGATGTAACAGAACCAAAGTGGACCGGCGCCGGGCCTGCAGCTTCATCACAGACTGTGATCAAATTCCCATCCAGAAATAAAACAGCCAAAACATTTTAGAAAATAAGATTATAGATAAGGAAAAGAATCAAACAGAACAATGCTTCATTGATCAAAGGAAAGATGACAGATTTTCAGCTTTAAGGTCAGAGCTTTGATTTTTTTCCTCAAAACAAATTTTCATCAATAATCCAACCAAAGAATTAGAATGCAGCAGAATAAAAGAATTATTTTTACTGACAAAAATGTTTGACGGGTCCAAAAGGTAAAAATATTTCCTTCTGGTTGCCATGCCAACATCAACTCCACACCAAAGGAATCTGCACCAATAGGAAAGCAGGCTGAGGCAGAGAGAGAGTTCAGGTGTTCAGACCCTGCTAGCTCAGTGTTAGCTTCTCTTCTTCTCTGCTCTACGTTTCTGTCCTTCAAGACAAAACCAATGAAAAAGAAGCAAAGGATGCAGAACAATGGTCGCTTCAGTCCCGGCTGAAGGGAGCTAAAAAAGGTCAGAAGGAACGCAGAGGTTGCTGCTTTCTGGCTGGATGGAGGAACATAAATGTCTCTGTTTAACAATAGCAGACCTGGTAACCAGCTGGCAAACAGAACTAGAGCAGCCGAGCTAGGGAGCCCCGCATACTGGCCAGGTGGAGTTAAACTTGTAGTGACCACAGTTTCAAGGAGCTCCCTGTAGACAAAAACAAAATGTGTGACTCTCTACCTCCAGCTGGAACAACTCAGTTACCTTCTGAAGGAACATGTCTACTGAAGAAGTAACTCAGAAGAATGTCTGGCACTCTCTGCTAGGGGTGAAAATAATAATCGTTTTGTATCGATGCATCGATCCAGCAGCCGACGATCCGATGCAGCCACTCAGCCGCAAGAGTAACGAATCATTTTTTTTTCTTCCTCTGATCTATTTCTATCCATTTGCTCCTGGACGTAATCCTGACTCCTGTGCTGAGGTGGCGCTAGACCTATTTTGCCCTCCTACCTCGCTTCCTTCAGCCACTTCCCTCTTTCCACTTGCACACACACACTCATGTAAACATAGAGGCATTATTATTTTTCAGTGAATGAGGTTTTCATAGGCGTAGGTGGAGTACAACTTTGCTACTTCTGTTATTTGCTGTT